CAGTCGGTCGTCTGTATGTGTGTTTCTGCTCTAAAACTTGGCGAATAGTAAATATGTGATCGAGATAACTATGGCCAGGGGCGAAACCAGCCTGGCTTTCAGTGATTCGGTCCTCACGGGGACCAGTAAGTCATTGGATAATGATATCCCTAAGAAGTTTGGAGGCAACGGAAACAAGGCTAATACCTCGGTGATTTTCGTAAAAAGTACGCTGACCCCTCTTGAAGATAGGTCCGACAGTTGACAGCCGCCCGTCTGAGGGCACCTCTCCAGTGTCCAAATCGTCTTAAATAGAGAAGCGAGTCCAGTCAACAAAGAATCACCACCATCTTCAGAAAGGGTCGGCCGCGTAAGAGCTTTGTTTCGTTTTAACACGGCGTGCTCATGTCGAATCTCTTCCAAAATGGGAGACGTGACATTCAGTACTCAAGCCAGCTCAGGTGATTCGATAAGCGGCAGTGTCGCAGCAGGTCAGATGAACTGCTCCTCAAAAAATTGCGCGTAACGGGCTAATCTACGACGCTGAGAACGGATCAACAGTCCATGTTTCTCAGCTATTGTTTCTCTATCGGATGGCTTTCTTGGACCGGTGTTCCGGACGAGTTGGAAAAAACACTTGGCTGTTCCCAAATAGCACTGCGTTTCTCCATATCAGACCTTTGCAACCCACCAAAGTTCCAGGTAGATTCGAATACTCCTTGCGATGCGTCGTTTCAGAGAGTAAAAGACACGCTGAAACTTAGTGACCATCGGAACCTGTTTACGCGTTTCGGTCAAACGGATCGATGCCTCAGAGATCCACTCACAGTTAGGACATCTTAAGCCGGGTGCACAGCATGTGTCAAAGGCATTCTTGATGGCACATTTGGGACGATCCTAGTCAGCGTTCGGCTCACCAGCCTCATTCATCACTGGTAACTGGTGGGCCAGTTCGTCATGATATTGTTGAACGGCAGATCGTGATTTCAAGCTATCGGTGAAGTTAGCAGATAGACGCTTCTTTGAAGTGGGAAGAGTGAGCGCCAAGCGTGTGCTCACTAGAACATGATCGGAATCCAGGCACGTGCTCCAAATTGATCAACAGTCTTGGACTGAAGTGTCCACCTGGAGCTGATAGCAATATTATCAAGCTGGGTCCAGGTTATTGCGGAACTCGGTGGGCATCAGGTGACACAATGTGAACGTTTGTGCTGGAAAGCAGTACTGATAAGGCAAAAGTCGTGGTCGGCGCGCAGCTGCAAGAATCGATCACCAATATCTGTTTGGTGGACATCGACTCCAAAACGTCCACTCAGGTGCTGTTCAGAGTCTGAAAGGTGACTCACTTGGGCATTCATTTCACCAGCAACAATCACAAAGTCAGTGCTCTTCGCCTCGCGAAGTAGGGATGAAAGATGGTACTAGAAATCATCCCTGGTATCCTTCGATGTGCAGTCAGTAGGAGCAAAAACGGAGGCGATGATAAGGCACCTTGTCTTTAACCTACGTTTTCCATCCTCCGATGTTGAGACACATCGGATACAGATCCAGAGTGTCTTACGAAAGTCCGCAACCCTGGTCTGTGGCTTCACTAGACGAGCGGTTAGTCATTGGATCTCCACGCAGTCTCACCAATTAATGGAAAGTCGTCGAAAAATTCCCGTCGGAGTTGAGTACAAAGCACTAAGCAATACCACAGGTGCTGAGCTCAGACAGCTCCTCAGGAAGGATCGCGAGGTTTGGTGGACACAGCGCGTCGTTGAGATGGAGTGGGTAGCCTCATCAGTAAACTCCCGCACTTTTCCAACTTGTTCGCTCCACCGGAGGCAGAAGATCAACAGTGAGTGAGGTTTTGCGTGAAAATGAAGGTGAACTAATTCAGTCGTTTGGTACGATAGGCAGAGCACTTTGAAGATCAATTTAACTGGCCAGCAGCGCAACCGAGTCCATCTTCCGAGGTTCACAGTGCGCCCTGATGCGTGGATGTTTCTCCACCGACAAAGGCCGAAGTTCCCAATGACCTTCGCCCACAAAAGCGCCACAAGTCACGTGGTCCAGATGAACTTCCTCCTACCCTCTTCAAATATGGTGGTCCTGCTCTCACTCGCGAACTGACATCTCTATTCCACTGAAACCACTCCATCCGCCCGGAATTTAGCGGATGTTGTAGCTGTTTACAAAAAAGGAGACCGGACGATTTGCTCCAACCATCGTAGCATCAGTCTCATTTGTGTCGCATCCAAACTGTTCGCTGCGCTTCTCTTACGGAGGCTTAGTTGCGTACGGGAATAGCATCTGCGTGAACAACAAGCTGGATTTCGCCCAGGTCGCGGTTGCATCGATCACATCTTTACGATCCGCCAGATACTTTAACATCGAAATACGTTCAGTCGACCAACTATAGTCACATTCTTGGACATTAGAGCAGCTTTTGACGCTGTTGACAGAGTGGCTCTTTGGGACTGCTTACTGAAGAGAGGAGTATCTGAGAATTACATCAGCATTCTCCCTGCTATTTACCATCAAATTTCGGGCAGCGTGTGAGTATACGGAGGAATTCCGCACCCTTGCAGTATCACTAGCGGTGTTAGACAGGATTGCCCAGCCTCTCCGTTCTTGTTCAACTTCGCCATGGACAAGATCCTGGATACTGCCCTGGAGAACTCTGAGTCCTGCGGTGTTGAACTGCTCCCTAGTGACCGCCTTCGGGACTTAGATGCCAAGAACCGTACGCCACGGCACATTTGCTGTGAGACTCTTCTATCCTAACAGTTGTTTTCCCTTTCACACTATCCTTTTTTCTTCTTATGTGTTGTGGCACTCAGCCAAGTATATTGTAATTGGTATAGTGTAGAATATATATATATATTCTACACTATACCAATTACAATATATAGTGTAGAATATATATATATATATATATATATATATATATATATATATGGGTTGAGTTAATCGTATTGATACGTGCTCCAGTGGCTGCGTATTTACGATGGCAGCTTGGCCTAATCATGTGCCGTTGGACCCAGCAGAAATACTGCGGAGTGACCAACAGACAAAACTACAGTATGCGGACAAAGTTGATTTCAAGGCCGGGCTCCTTCCTAGTATGCACACTTGTGTAGTGACTGACAGCGCGTTGCAATCTATTGCATGCATTTCGAATACTTAAAATGAAAATTATCGTTGTAAGAGTGGGTCATTAAGCGACCAGTTTCAACCAACACTGAACCTTTACAATCGGTTCATATAGCTAAGTGACTTCACCTCACCGGAGAAGTTATTGTGAGCATCGCTTAGATCCAGATACCACTTGAAAGCCTAATACATAAGCGGAGGCAGTGAGGTCTGTTGGCCAAAGAATGATTATACAAAGCCAGTGCTATATGACGGAATAGGAACATGATACTGCGTGATGCCACTAAGGTACCGACCATTTTTGATCACTGATGCCCCCACGACGCATACATCTGGGCGAAATGTTAAATACGCACTGAGCAGTCACACTAGCTAGATAAGATACGGACGAAACCGCACATGATAACTTGATGAAAATAAGCCGTCAGGTACACTATCCGAGTTCTTATCGGCCTCATACGTCATCTTGCATAGCCAGATAATGTCACGCCCAACTGAGTGAAGACTGAGACTATGAAGGAGGCGATCATGAAAAGTCGGTCAGCATTCAGCATGCAGTGATCAGGGGCAAGACTTATAAAATCGGCAAGCAATGCGGTTAGAAACCCCAATACAATGCAGTCGCAGTACCAACTGCATTCATTCTCAAGGGTTAACCTCCACAACAAACAAGTCCACTTATTCATTCATCAATATTCTCTAAACGTTTATCCCCATGTTCGCAATCTTTCCTTACCTTTTATTTGTTATTAGTATTACTATTATTGTGGACTCTATGGTCATGGCGACTGGAGCCGTCGCGTTGGTGTCAGGTGTGCTACCAATTAAGAGAACCGGAAAGTCATGACACAATCAAAGACTAACACCGATTCCCCCGATGCAGAACAGTTATAAGATGTCATCACAGTTCCAAATGAAATTGATGGCAAAATTCAAGTGCGTAACATGTGATAATGTTATTTCATACAAAATATACTAAAAGGTAAGCCAGGATGGAAGCGAATTTAAGAGATCAATGTATCCGTGGGTGGAAACAGCTAAGGAAATCAAGTGCGGGTACTGAGGTGTTTTCACTGTGTAAATAAGAGAACAATTTGTGTAATCTGATCCCCTCCATTTTGTGACATGCAATAACATGCTTCCTATCACAAGCAATGGTGCAGTTAGTTGGAAATATGAGTGACAACGGCTAGAACAGTGTTGTGAGCGTAATTTTGGTGCAATGGGTTCAGAAGCACTAGACTGTTTTCTTTTGAGCTCTTCAAAATACAGTCCTAATAATGAGATGAACGCGACTCATTTCAAGGCACAAACCAAAGTGGGACACTGTGGTGCAAATCAGGTTGAGTAAGTGGCCAAATCCTATGGTCGACGAACACCAAAAGCAAACTGAGTTGATCATGGTGGTTACAATAGCCGCAGTAGCAGAGACACCGATTACAGGAAGTATGGACGATTAGAACATGCTTTTATGCGATTGTGTAGAAAAGTAACAAGTGATGACTACCAATGGCCATGAAATAAGCTGTTCAGAAAAGCAAGCAGTCTCAAACAGGGAACGGACGAAATACGTTTTAGGGATGCAGCGAACCAATGTTAGAGACAAACTGCTTCATCAAGATGATCATAAGGAGCAGGAACCAGGTAAAGGGAGATTAGAAATGCCGCCCAAGCAAACAAAACAGAGCGCTTCGCGGTGGAGACGGAAAATATTCTATGCTGAATCGATATTTTAGCCAAAGGGTTTTCAAAACGACCGCATGATGGAAACCTTCAAAAATAGACCGGAAATAGTCTCCTAACACAAAGACTAATATGTTCTGCAACAGTTCGGGCGCGCAATTGCAAAAAATCGGCGATAGGGCAGTAGAAGACAGATGTACCTTCGTCATGTAAACCGGTTTCATTTTGGATCATAAAATCTTCCAACATTCCACGTAGACGGGCGATTTCTTTTTCGTACCGTTCTATGTAGGTTTCTTTACCATGGTCCGGATAGCTAGAGGGCATAGGATCGACTCCAAAATCATTGGATAGGCCATTATTTGAAGTATTCATCTCACCGCCGGTCAGTCCTTTGACCCTGCGAGTTAACTTTTCGACCATTTCGAGCGCATGAGTGGTCAAATTTTGGGTCCCCGAGCGATCACTCTGGTAAGTTGAAACCGGCCTTGACTTCTCAGAGGGATGGGTGTTTTGCTGTGCGTTTAGATGAGCTAGTAATGCATCACGTTCCGCTGCCCAACGAGTGCGCTCCTAGAAAACAAAAACATGCTACATAGAAAGCAGTAGCAATGAATACGTGGCTCATGGTCGTGCAGGCAAAGAAAAAAGTAGTGGAACATCAAAAAGGATGGTACACAAAACGACATTGATAGATTATGGATGTCTGTTAAAGGCAAAAAGGCCTGTAAATAAGTTCACTCGTAGAGGAAATAACCAGAGAACTGCTTAAGTGGACGGATGCATTTTCTTCCGTTGTTGATCCTTGTGACCGAGAACAGTTACAAGGGACTCACGCACACATGAGATACTGGTAGCTTGCAAAGGACTAATCAAACGCTGCGTATCTAATGACAGCCAAAAGAAACGAGGCACGAGAGCAAAACCATAGTTGTCCCGGAGCCGGCCCACATTTGCGTAGTGCTCATATCTAGCTCGCCGAACAACTACCCAGTGGTACCAGCTGGGTGGTTCGAGTAACTCTCGTTCCAGCGAATGGCTCGGTGGTAGTGTCACAGGACGTGGTGGGTTTTCGCCTATCAAGCGTTCTCCCTCTAAAAAGCCACAAGTGTCGGCTTAACAACACTGTGACGTGGCGGACGTGACTTGTCACCAAATAACGTCAATGCTCCTTGCCTATCCAAACGATCTTAACCAAAACCTGCGGACGTCGTTCATCTAACTTGAAGAATTTCTACGGTCATTTGGCCCACTTGCAATCTGACGGAACACAATCACGAATATAGCAGCACATTTACAAGTGTAAACCACACCCCTACGCACCTATCTTCATATATGTATTAGTGGCAACGTTTCTGTACTTTTACTGATGATTCATATAGCTTTACTTTGATCATGTCTGCGAAGGCGTATCTCGTTTTGTCGAGAATATACAATTTAATTATTAACTTAACAGTGCGACAGTAAAGTTCGCCACTTGGTAGTAACGAATTGTAACGTCCGTTAAATTTGAATCGCTTAGGCTGACAATGTTTTGTTTCGGTGTGCCAGTTGACCACGTTCCTTGGCGTGCATTATACGCTGCAAGAACGCAAGTCGATAACCAGGCATTAGTGACATGAAGAAATTGACCGAAAGGCTTGATCAAGCTGGTGCGTGCGGTTTCTGTGGATGGAGCCGCGGTATTGACGACATTTATGAATAGAGACGTTGGAGGTGGTGTAGTAGCAAAGTAATTGGCGCTTCTGCATTCCGTTGACTGTACCTAGTTGTTAGTATTTTAACCCGATTAATTTTTATTCATTTACTCCAGTTTTCTTGTATTCTCTGAGTTCCACATCATATTCGCCATTGTTAAGCATCCTCGTTCTGAAACAGCGAGTTTTGGCAGAAAGATCTGCGCAACACTGGTGCCCATAAACTGTACAACAGGAAAAAAGCAGACGCATCTTGGAATCATTGCCTTAACGCTTGACCAGTAACCGACTAGTCACTAATGGGGAAGCACACGATGCAGACTTGAGAAAGATGGTCACTTGAGCGTAGACAGTTCAGTGGTGAAACGATTAGTTGAATCTGGTATCCACGACGAGTGTGCACCTCGTCTCCTTCGGCATCGGCCAACAGCTTGATAGAACCAGTACTCAATGTACTGAGTCTGGACCAGTAGACATTCAGCCAGTAGTCGGTTAGATATGACAAGCATTTGGGAACATAACTCAAGCACTCAGCATAACAATCAATAACACGATGTCAGCCATTTGAACTGATGCTTCTCTACCATACAACCACAACGAGCTACGGTATAAAGAAAAATAGAAGGGAGAGAAGAGGGACAGAGCGTAAAGTCTTCATACCCTAACCAGATATTTATTGGCAAAGCGCCTACACCCTGTCAGTAACACACCGCCAGAAACAGCGTGCTATCGCACAAAGATAAGGCGGCATCAGCGAGACAGCTTCCTTGCGGCTTTCACTATTACGCGTCATAATTAGCCATTACCCCGCAGAAAACTCAGCACCAAACGCAATTTAAACAGGCAGTCTGACTAGGAGAGGACAGTAGATACGCTACTGGCATCCACTGTGAGTTATGTCCTGTACCGTCTCGAGCCAAGCACAAAGTGGGTCACATGGACTCCAGTCTGGAAAGGAGGACGGACCAACGGCATCCAGTTTTGTAGTCGGTGATTTCATTACCCGTTGTCGCAACACATGTTTAACCATCCAAATATGGTCTTACCTGAGCGATGATGCACCACAGATGCTAACCGGCTTCCGTGCCAGTAATATACGTACGAAGGATGTGTGAACTCCGTACCTCAAGGCACAGTAGCTGGACTCATGTCGTTTCTTATCTACATCGATGAAGTACCACTGCTTCTTCGATCACCTTGTGCCTTGTTTGAAGATGATATGGAGATTCAGAGTAAATGATGCTCTCAACGAACTTGACCACAAATGTTTATATGGTCTGCGGAGATCGACTTACTGGTTAACCCAGCCAGCGGGGGACAAACGCGCCTGGGGAAGGTGCTGATGGGCGTATGTGCTTTGTTACCATGCAACCTTTTCACTTCATCTTCCGTACTCTCACAATGCGGTTTGAAATCGGTGGACCACCAGAACAGATTCCACTGAAACGGGTCGTATATGCTTTGCGCTCTCAAATGCAGAATATGAATGTGGTCTGAAGGGATTGTCTCTAGCCATGTCTCTTCCATTAAAAGACCAATGCTAATGTGTGGCTTATCCGCATACAACCTGATCAAGCATGGTGAGGTGCAGAAACGTGGAAAGTTTCAACAGGTGGCTACCAGGTTCAACCCAAGTCTACGAAGTTTACAGTAAAAAGACCGATGAAAGAGACTAGAAACACAGATACCGTCCTTTGGTCGATTTCCAGTTGATCTGATGGTGCTCCATCGGACAATACATCTGAGTGACTTCTCCAGGCTAAGACCGCTGTCGCATCGCACTGGTATAAAAGTGTAGTAGCCTGTTTGAAGTGGGTAGCTCACTATATATGCTTCGAGTACCGAGTGGTGAATTTTTGGAACAGTTTGTCAGATAAAATGAGTGAGGCAAAATCAGTGTAGGAATTTCAGAAATTCCCAGATGCAGAGGGCGTATCGTATCCAGGAAAGACCATGTGCAGCTGTAATACGTTGTGAGTGCACGAGAATCCACATTATTCTACGTGCGTCCCCGATCAGATTTAAATGGAGCAACACAGATATAGGTCTTTTCGCTTTTTATTTTCAACAGATAGTGGGGGGCTGAGGAGCAGCTGGTTTTAAATGAAACTTTTAAAATAGCAAGATATAATACGGGAAAGCCGCAAGCTGACAAGTTAATTGTGATTCAGTCGAGCAACCACGATTCGAGCACAGATGAGCGGAGGGCTCAGTTGTCGTGACGTGCACAGCCAAAACAAATGAGTGATGCAGTTAAACCCCATGGGCCGCCCTATGACTTAAGAACCGTTAGCAAAGCAAGACACCTACACCAGAAAAGGTAATGTAATACGCCTTGCAAGAATGTGCACCAAATGCTTCTTCAATCGACAAGAGACCCGTAACTGGATGAAAATGCAGAGCCAGTTAACTCCGTTGAAAACAAAATGATTAGAGCGTTAAACCGAATGTGAAAACAAGCAAGGAAATGCTACAAATAAAAACAAAACAGGGGAACCATATGGGGCATACAAACAGGATCGGTGATGACAACTTACTTCTTCGAGTGCCCTATGGCTAGCCGCTTGAATTTCAGCAACCTCCTGCATAGAAATGGACTGAAGTGAAGCAATTTCCTCATCATAGCGCCGCTTTAGATTATAAAATGCATCATCCTGTCCTGCAACCATGAGAGCAGTGGCGCTTCTCAAATCTTCCAACTCCATTTCCAGTCTTTGCAGACGTTCTCTGGCATTATGGGCTTCTAATTCGGCCTTTGTATAAAGAGATTCATAGTGCGCACGGTCATTGAGACAGCGTGTCAACAAATTTGTCAGCTTGTGACGAGACTCGACATCTGGTAGCTGGTCAATCAAAGAGTAAATGGGAGCAGCAGTGTAATCGAAATCGGCGGTAATAAGGGATCCGGCGTTGACTGTAGCACAGAATAATCCTTCTATCTGGTTCACAGAAGCCTCCCAGTTTTCTGCCTGTCGCCCTTCTGGGTCAATATCAGCCTCCGACATTACAGATATGAATGCGCCAAGAAAGAGCCGTCAACTATCCCGCATCAGTGGATGAGGGGTTTCACGCATTCGGCATGTTGGACACTCATAACCCCACCATGTTTTGTGTAAAAAGAGGAGCTAGAAGACGAGAATCGAAGAGGAAACTGGATGATGCTTCACAGGTCTGTGGTATCCAGGAACAGAAGGGGCGGATACTGAGAAGCATACATGGGTAGATAAATATAAACAACGTTGGAAGTGTGTAAACTAGGAGAGAACAGTAGATGAAAGACAGTCATTGGAGCACAAGAATATCGGCGAAAGTGTGTACAGCAGAAATGAAGGTTAGAAAGCCATCATCGCCGTCAACAGCCGCACAACAGTAAAGGGAACTGATGCTTTGACGCCACAGTGACCTATGGAGCGAAGAACAGGAGGAACAGGGAGCATTGGGCATAGATTTAAACGAAATGCGTCAAGTAAACATCTATGGACAAGGTACGTACACTCTGTTAACGACAACCGGTCACGAGCAGTCGGCTGACTTGTGAAAATAAGGCGGTATCAGTAACAGATTCTCTGAGGCTTTCACTGCACCACGTCATAATCACTCCCATCCTACGGGATAGCCCAGCATTGGACATAATGTGAATAGGTTGTTTGCCTAGGAGACGACAGCAAACGAGATCCCTGCACTGTAAAAAGTAAAAATATGGGGGATACGTAGACTCCAGCCGTTATTGACTTCATCCCTGCCACCAAGTCCATTCCTCTCGGGCTTCGCATCATCATATTTTAATCAAATAACATAAGGCCTTCTAGGAAAGAAGCGAGCAGAGTACCTAGCAAGTGCCTAAGTTAATGCAAACTATTTTGTCATTGAGCTAAAGAATGAACACGACTATTCCTACCTAATACTCGCCTGTATTATGAAGCTCCGCAAGGAAAAATTCCAAAATGAGGTCGTGATAAAATTTTAAAAAAATGGAGAAGTGGGGTAACCATGCCGGACGAAACCTGTTGTCGGAAAGGTGCCTGACCATTCTCGGTAGACCCTGATGCGATCGGTAATGTTCAAATACGGGGCATGTAATATAGGTACATATTTGGTGTGGATACCCCTTTGGCCACGTGTTGCGCATGCCAGCACAACGACTTCGACGTTGTGTGGTTCGCGCGCCCGGCGTGCGAATGGAAGAGGAGGAGGAGTGGAGGCCTAGTGATGGGTTGGTCGAGAGGAATGAAAACCCTTGCTTTGAAGTTGGCATCGGTTGGTGTCTCCCGACTACCGGGCTGGGGTCCCGAGGACGATGAGCGCGTTTGATTGAATACACTTGTTGACACGGCGAAGAGCCGGTGTTTGTGTTGTGGGTTTCGTTGTAATCCTCCTCCCCTTTAGATTCACCCAACAATTACGATCTCCTGCTAAATGCATAATATGACAGTAAACATTACATTACTTGCTTTTTGAACGTTTTTGCAATCTGTGGTTTTTGCATCGCGGCACGTTAGGTTAGCTGAGGTGTGTTTCTCATCCTCGGTTACCGTGTATTGATGATGATGACCCATCCGAGCAAGTAAGTCAAACAGAACGGACCAAGCGGCTTAATCGAAGGTACCCGTGAGTTTGAAGGACAGTTATCGTTGATTTGCGGTATGTGCGCTGCTGTTCTAATACCTGCCGCAGATCTATACTGTCACCTACTGGAAAGAAACTGGTCATCATCATCATCATTATACACGTTAGCTAGATACCTCAGCTACTGTGCCGCAATACATATAAGAAAAATAGGAAAATAAATGCAACAGATGTATGCCAGCTGAGCTGACAACAACGGATGGGCATCGTTCCGGTAAGCTAGCAGTTAGCTACTATGCAGTAAAAAAATTTATTAAGCATAATTATTTACGTTAAGAAGTGAGATCGTGGTTGGAGAAAGAGGTGGGATTATGTGGGACAAAAACTCACAGCACGAACGCCACTGAGGTAGGCTCCTAGACATGTCAGCAAGTGTATCCAGAAACCTGTACGTTCAAACTGACGTCCTTCTGGTTATCGAAAACGATGCGACTGTCAGTTTAGAATGTTGTCACTATAAACGATTCACCCCAGTTGGCTGGAATGGTATCTTCCTTCCACAAGTATTAGAACAGATGGGTGGGGACATGTGGTGTGAATACGTTTAAGGGCTGCAACTGCGTTCCGAACCGTAGCCCTCGACGCAGCTCCTAAAGGAATGCGCCATGGTTTGGTCGGCACCACCTGAATAGGAGGTTTGAGGGTAGCGGACCGACTAGACTGCTTTCGACATTGCCCTGTCCAACTAATCAGATGGCACATTTTAATAAGAGTTGGCGTAATGATGCTATCCTTGATTGTCTCGCACATACACAGGATCATGAAACTAGTGATACAGATCATCTGGAAGAGTGCAACAATTGTCAAAGCTTCCGACCGTCCCTATCTCCTTAGGTCTTTCGGTTCATCATGCTTGCTTGTTAGCAAGCGGGTGCTTTTTCAAATAGTGTCTTATGGTCTGTCTAATCCCACTGCGTCCAGTGCCAGCAGAGGTTTCTTCAATAGATTCAAATATCTTCCAGATATCGTGTCAGGTGCTATGGGATTGATACTGACGCTGGCAGCGGCCCACACGTCGTGAATAGCTACTAAGGTACTACTCCATATGGGTCCCATATCTCTGAAAAAATTAGGGAGAATGTAGTATGCAGGGTATCGTTGTTGATCGTGCTGATTGACGGTTGAGATAGTATTTCAGCTGCAAATCGAGTAGTACCTTACTACCTCGTGGTGCCAGCTGGGTGGTTCGGGTGTACCCCGTTCCAGCAAAGTGTTCGGCGACAATGTTCCACCTCCGTGGGGCATTGTATTCCAGCAAGTTTGCTGACTTCATGGGGAGCAGTGGGCCCCTGTTACGTAATCTAGCAAACAAAGACGCATGAACTGATCATTCAGTCAACGTCTCCCAATGGGCGCGATTCTCTAAATGCGTCCAGCTGCCTTGCCGGTAGGTTATTTAGCCAAAGGTTCAGGGTGGAGTCCCTTAAGTCAACTCGCTACTTCGGTTTGGGCAACCGGGTAGTATCACGCCCTCTCACAAAACCATGGACAGTACTACAACGTGCCCATCAACCACTGTTTCTGCTAGTCACTTTCACGCTACTTCATTACACGCCAATTGTTTGCTACCAATCCTCACTTTCCGTTACCCGATTCATCTGTTCAACAATCTGGCTGCGATTCCGGTTGCGCCGCAGACCAAGGTTTTCAACCTATGGCTCTCCTTCGTCCCCGATCCTCGTTTCGTCCGGCGTGCTTCAACGTTCGGACACTTATGCAGATTGAACAGCAAGCCGGTCTAGCGTGCATCCTAGATTCCCTAGACATTGATGTCTGCTGCCTTTTAGAAACCCGATTGCAAGATCCCAGCACTGTGCATACATTGACATCCCCCACTGACCACGAAGCCAGATATCACCTGCATCTTTCTGGAGATCCAGAAGCAGCCTCAGCGGGTCTGGCTGGCGTAGGTATAGGACTAAGTCACAAGGCCGAGGCGGCACTACTGGACTGGTTCCCTATTAATAGCCGACTATGTGCAGTTCGGTTTCGGGGTTCGTGTAGAATCAACAGGCACCACGAAGAGAGACACAACTTGTTTGTGATCACCGTGTACGCTCCAAATGACTGCAGTGGCGACTCGGTCAAGGACGAATTCTACCGAGATCTACAGCAGCTCTTGACTAATGCTAAAAAGTCGGATGTGGTTATCCTTGCTGGGGATTTTAATGCACGGGCTGGCCGCCTGTTACCATACGAACGCCACCTTGGTGGTCATCACTCGCTCGATGAGAACCGCTCTGATAACGGAGAGAGGCTTCTCACATTGTGCGAAGACAATCGTCTGTTTCTTTCGAGCACCAACTTCAGGCATACGAAGAAGCGTTCTACAACGTGGCGTCCCGCTTCTTCAACACAACCGTGGTCTCAAATTGATCACATTTCAATTAGCTTCAGATGGCGCGGCAGCGTACTAGACTGAAAGTCCTTTTGGTCCACTTTCGTTGACTCAGATCATGCGCTGGTCTGCGCGAAAATCTGTAGTCATTTGGAGGATCCCGAAACACGAAGCACCGCAAGATTGATGTAAACAGATTAACTGATTCCTCTGTCCTGGCGAGCTATCAGTCTTCACTGGCAAATGCACTCAGTTACAATCCACCGCAAGAAGTGGAACAACACTGGACTTGTATACCGAAGGCAATGATCATTTCCGGACAGTCATGCTGCGGCCTAACTCGACGCCCTTTGAACTCTTGGATCTCTGCTCGTTCTCTGGAGCTGTTCGAACGCCGCAAAGATATCCCCGCGGAATCAGATTGCAACGAGCGGCGCCGTTCTGCCAACCGGCTGCTCAAACAAAGCCTACGCAAGGATCGCGAGACATGGTGGTCTGAGCGTGCTTTAGAGATGGAGACCGTTGCCCTCTCTGGCAACACTCGCAGGCTTTTCCAACTCATTCGGTCCACTGGCCTCAGGAAGCCTGGTGTCAGTGAGGTCATTTGTGAGGTGGATGAGTCTCCGATCACCAACCAACGGAGGCGTATGGACCGCTGGGCCGAGCACCTTCACTCGCAGTTCAACTGGCCTCCACCATCCATCAGTACATGCAGTACACCTTGTTGTCCACCCTGGCTCGTCCCATTGAACCCAACCAGCGAAGCAGAAGTCTGCCTCGAGATTCGACGCTTGAAGCGCTTCAAGACTGCCGGCTTAGATGGAATTCATTCGGAGCTATTCAAGTAGGGCGGTGTGACGATCATTAACCAGCTAACCGCGCTGTTCGCAAAAATTTGCATGAAGAGAAAGTGCCTTCCTCTTGGGGCGAATCAGTTATTGTCCAGATTTTCAAGAAAGGAGCTCGCACTTCATGTGCAAATCATCACGGGATTAGTCTTATTTCGGTTGCCTCTAAGCTATTGGCATCCATTCTGCTTCGTAGACTATCCATAGTACGTGAATCATACTACCGTGAAGAACAAGCTGGTTTCCGTCCTGGCCGCGGATGCGTGGATCAAATCTTCACGCTCCGCCAACTCCTTGAACATCGCTACATTTATCACAGGCCCACCATCGTTGCATTTCTAGACATACGTGCCGCTTTTGACTCCGTTGATCGACCTGCTTTATGGCGTTGCTTGCTAAAGAAGGGGGTGCCAGAGAAATATACCGCCATCTCACGAGCACTTTACCTTCATACATCCGGCAGAGTGAGGGTTTATGGCAAGCTTTCCTCGCAATTCTCTGTCAATAGCGGTGTGCGACAGGGCTGCCCTATGTCCCCATTCCTCTTCAACTTCGCAATCGAAGACGTTCTGTCGAATGCCCTGGAAGGTTT